ATTAATTAACTGGGAATAATGAACTGTCCCCATCTTTTTTTTTTTTTTTTTTTTTTTTGCAGTTCTTGGCTGGGGTTGGGTTTGAACCCGCCAGCGCCCTACTCTGTTGAGCCACAGGTGCCGCCCAACTGTCCCCATCTTATAGATTGCTGGGAGAAGGAAATGGGAAGTTAGCACACAAGCAGAGGCTGCTGCTTATTTTACAGTTTTCTGGGGAAACTGAGGCTCACAGAGATGGAATCACCTCCCTAAGAATGCACAGCATGGGTATTGGCTTGGTGGGAGTTCAGAGATGACTCCCACTCTCAATTATTCCCATCCTTTCCCTCCTCCTCTTCCCTACCCCCTGATCTCCCCTAGAGGAACCAGAGTTGAGCTTAGAGGGTCTGGCCTGGGGCCCGGAGGCGGGCTGTTGCCGGGGGATTGAATAAGGCAATCTTGCCTGGGAATCTGCTGGGCTCAAAGAGCTATTTATAGGCCAGAGCTGGGATTGGACAAGACCCCCCCAGCCCCATCCCTGAGGGCCTTCTCTGTCCCCCTCTCACCAACACTGAGGTCTGAGCCAGGGGCTAATACCAGTGGAGGAGGGGGCTAGTGGGCCAGAGTGGAGGCGGGGAGGCCAGGCCATCCAGCAGAGCTGGGCCGCAGCAGTGAACAGTGTCCCCCCAAGTATCTCAGAACATATCCAAAGTGGCACATGGTCAAATTACATACAAAGTCATCAACCACCATTGACACATAGTTACATCCAACCACACTAATAGCACAGTCAGCTCTCATACAACTTCATTTGGCCACCCACAAGTCTTCTCAGCCACACAAAACTACACCTGACCACACACAAAATCACACCTGGCCATGCACAATCAAACCTGGCTATCCCAAACCACATCTGGCTATGCACAACCACACAACCACATTTGATCGCATACAGCTTGCTGCATGACCAAATGCATAGCTGTGAGTGAGGTTGCATCTAGCCTCCCTCTGTGCTCAAACACACTCATTGCTGTTCACAATCACCTTCACCTTTCTTTGAGCCACAGGAAGCTCACCTTTGCCCTAAGATGTCACACCCAACCATGTTTCCAGGTATGGCCACACACAGAGATACTGAGCACACAACAAACTTCAGTGGGCACTAATGTCATCAACCCTGACATATACAAGCCTCCCAGCTACTGTCACCAGGTCTAAATCTTCCCACGTATGTTCATCTCAGTCCCTGCACACCTAGCCACTCACTCACACTCGCACTGTTACCTCCAGTATAATGCCACACTTAGACCTCACCAGCACCAACAACCCCTGCTAGCATTCAGTGAGCATCCTTCTACTTTGTGCTGGTCCCTGCTGGACTTGGACACATCCTGGCAGGCAAATTAGACCCAGTCTGGACAGATTATGGGTTTCAGGCTTCAGAGATTCTGTTACACCCTCCTTCCTCTGCACTCACCTCAGGGTGAGACCACAGGGAAACTATTACACCCATTCCTCAGGCTTAAAGCTAACCAAGGGCCTTTTCCTGTCCTGCTCCAAGATGACAGATTTATGTTTTCCACATGAATGGGGCCAATGCAGAGAGAGTCCCCACTGACCCATACTTGCTGTGTGACTTCAGCAAATCCCCAGCCTCTCTGAAATTCCAGTTTCTCCCTGAAAAATGTAGATCTCAGCCCAGTGGGAAGATTTTTGGGGTCAGACTGCAGTTTGTATCCCAGTCCCCCAAGGTGGCCATAGCTAAATGACTTTGCTTTTCTGTGCCTCCTTTTCCCCCCAAAAGCAGAGGAGCTGCTTTTGAACCTTCTAGAGCAGTGGTTCTTAACCTTCCTAATGTCTCCTAATGCCGCAACCCTTTAATACAGTTCCTCATGTTGTGGTGACCCCCAACCATAAGATTAATATTATTATTATTTTTTGAGACAGAGCCTCAAGCTATCCCCCTGGGTAGAGTGCCGTGGCTTCACAGCTCATAGCAACCTCCAACTCCTGGGCTCAAGCGAGTCTCCTGCCTCTGCCTCCCAAGTAGCTGGGACCACAGGCGCTCGCCACAATGCCTGGCTATTTTTTGGTTGCAGCCGTCATTGTTGCTTGGCGGGTCCGGGCTGGATTCGAACCCACCACCTTAGGTGTATGTGGCTGGCGCCTTAGCCACTTGAGCCATAGGTGCCGAGCCAAGATTATTATTTTTTTTATAAAATTATTTTCGTGGCTTGGCGCCTGTGGCTCAAGTGGCTAAGGTGCCAGCCACATACACCTAAGGTGGTGGGCTCGAATCCCCAGCCCGGGCCCGCCAAACAATGATGGCTGCAACCAAAAAATGGCCGGGCGTTGTGGCGGGTGCCTGTAGTCCCAGCTACTTGGGAGGCTGAGGCAGGAGACTCTCTTGAGCCCAGGAGTTGGAGGTTGCTGTGAGCATGATGCCATGGCACTCTACCCAGGGGGATAGCTTGAGGCTCCGTCACAAAAAAAAATAAAAATAAAAATAAAAATAAAATTATTTTCGTTGCTACTTCATAATTGTAATTTTGCTACTGTTATGAATCGTAATGTAAATATCTGATATGCAGGAAGTATTTTTATTGTTACAAAAGGGTCGAGACCTACAGGTTGAGAACCGCTGTTCTAGAGCTCTCCCTGCCTCATTTCCTGGCATGGGTGGGAGTTCTTAGTCTCTCATCACTCAGGAGAATGAATGGACCACTTTTGGCTGCCCTGCTAGGAGCCTGGAGCTGTTAATTCCCTGGAGAAAAAGGAGGTCCTTTCATACCCAGGCACCAGTGGGGTGAGGAGGTGGGAAGAGGGTATGGAGCTGGTTTCACCCCCTTGGACAAGGTGGCCCCATGCCAAGGCCAGGAGTGGTGTGGAGAGCCCTGGGGCCATGCATATCTCACTGGGGGACATTGGCTAAGTTGCTGTGTTCTCAGCTATAAAATAGGGGTGACAGGGACCAGCTAAGGCAAGTTTCTTTTTTTTCTTTTTTTTTTTTTTGCAGTTTTTAGCTAGGGCTGGGTTTGAACCCGCCACCTCTGGCATATGGGGCTGGCGCCTTACTCCTTTAACCACAGGCACCTCCCGCTAAGGCAGGTTTAATGGGCCAATGGATGGCAAAAAATATATGGCTTCAAGTCAGACACACAGTGGGCTCTCAACAAATGTCAGCCACTATTGCTATGTGTCAACTTAAAGAGCCCCCTGAGTCCTCTAATGGTCCTGTAAATAGAATTCCCCCTACTTTACAGATGAAGAAACTAAGAGGTCAGAATGTTTGTCTAAATTCACACAGCCAGTGATGGTCCAGCCAAGATTTGCACCAGATCTGGGTTCTCTAGAGTCCATTCTCTTCCTAACTTCCTCTGAGGGTGAAGGCGGGGGTGGAGTGTTTCCTGTTATCTCCAGTCCCATCCCTGAGATCAGCAAAGCTGGTGGCACCAGACTATGTCTGAATGCAGAAAGTCCTGGGAGGCAGGGCTTATGAGGCAGCCCTTCTGTGGGTGACCCAGTTTCCCCATCAGCCCCCATCCTGGACTGAGTTCAGGCAGATTCTAGCAGGATGCCAGGGGGACCATTCCCCCAGCCCTTGAAGAAAGGGGCTGGATGCCAGACCATTCAGCTAAAGCCAGGGACAACAGTCTCCTGCCAGGGACTGCTCTGTCTGGGAACCCTCCATTCATGCAGATCAGATGGCAACCTGCCCTTTCTCAAATACCTTTCATGATCGCTCCAGGCCTAGAAGGATATGGCTATATATATGGCCATATATAAACTATAATTCTTTTGTTTTTCTTTGAGACAGAGTCTCACTTTGTCACTCTTGGTAGAGTGATGTAGCATCATAGCTCACAGCAACCTCAAAGTCCTGGGCTTAAGCGATTCTCTTGCCTAAGCCTCCCAAGTAGCTGGGACTACAGGCGCCCACAACAACACCTGGCTAATTTTAGAGACAAGGCCTTGTTCTGGCTCTGGCTGGTCTAGAACCTGTGAGCTCAGGCAATCCACCCACCTTGGCCTTCCAAGTGCTGGGATTACAGGCATGAGCCACTGCACCTGGTCTCAGCTCCACATATTTTATTGAAATTCATGGTCTTTCACCCAATTAGGCTTTTCCTTATGCTGTTCTCCCTGCCTGGAATGCCCTCCCCCCCCCCCCATTTTCTTACCCTAGTGAATTTCGGCCAGCCCATGAAGGTGCAGGTCAAAAATCTCTCTCAGGATCCTTCCTCTTCCTCCAGGTTAAAGCCCCTGCTCCTCCAGCCCTATCTCACCCTCTGGCTTAGCCCTGATCCTCTGGGGCACAGAGTGTCTATCTCTATCTTGCTCAGACCAGGGTCTCCTCATTCAGCAACTGGGTTTGAACTGATGTCTCTTGCCACCCCTAACATCATCCAGCACAGGGCTGAGGAAAAGGGTGTGACAGTAGAGGAAGGCAGGAATTGTCTAGTGAATCACTGAACCAAATATTTAGCCTGGTATCTGAAGCTTTGCATAATCTGACTTGGCAAACTCCTGTTCATGCTTCAAAACACATCTCCATGCCCCCACCACTCTCTCTGAAGTCTTCCTTGATGTCTTACGTGAAAGGGAGATTTGGCGAACAGGTCTCCTATGTTCTAACAAGGACAAAGGAGATTGATGAGGACTCCTGATATTCCCAACATCATGGTCTTTTTCATCCCTCTTGCTTTGACCTCTGGGAGGCAATGAGGTTCAGGGGTTCCCAGACTGCATTAGCAGTTAGGGAGTGTATTCAGCACTTTCTCGAGTAGGAAGCCATCGCTATAGGAAGTCTCTCGGATTCCAAAACCAGTGCTCTACATCCCTTACCAAGGAATAGCACCCGGAAAACAGAACGCCTTCTTTCTCCACCTTAAACGTTGAACCTGGGCTCTTTAAGAAGAGGGCATGAAGGGGCGGGGTGAAATCAAACCCTGCCCTAGGAGCGGCAGCAGGGCGGTACCTGAATTACATTGCGCATGCGCCGCACTCACGCTGTTCCGGGTCCCAGGTTTTGGTTTGCAGAGTTGATCCGGGAGAAACTGAGGTTCGGATAGGGGACGACCGTCCCCCAAACCCGCGGGAAACTTGTTTCCTGTGAAAAGCCTAACCTCTGGTCATTGGCATTTTCTCCGATCACCACTCCTAAATTGTTCTGGCCTGTGGGAGGGTGATCGAGACATTTAGGACTGGGACAGGCAAGGGAGTTACGGCTCAAGGCCAGAGTTAACAGGTAAGGATGTGCAGGCCAGGGACGTGGTCAAGGTTGTAACCGCTGTGGCTGAGGTGGTGTCAGGAGTCAAACCCAAGTTGAGCCCAGACCCTGAGAGCTCCTGTGGAACCGAGATGACCCACTCTTTGGTTTGTCCAGAGACAGTAAGCAGGTAAGAGCCTGGGGGTTCAGAGAGTGTCAGGGCCCTAAGGCTGAGGTCAGCCCAGCTCAGTGGACAAAACTGGGAGGAGCACCCTCCGCAGCACCGGGAGCTGGCTCAGTCCCTCTCCTCACCCAGATCATACTGGTGCCTCTTCTAGGGTGAGTTCCGTGCTGAATCGCAATACTCGGCAGTTTGGAAAGAAACACCTGTTCGATCAGGATGAGGAGACGTGCTGGAACTCTGATCAGGTAAGGTGCCTCCCAGGCCCAATATCCGTGGCGTCAATCAGCTTCAGGAGTCCAGGATGTCTTGACAACTTTCAGCAGGGGAGGAGGGCCTAGTGGGTATCAGGAAGGACACATGTACCCAATTTGTTTGTTTCATGGACTGTGTGAATGAGAAAGACAAGCCGAGCAGGGCTCTGAGCCTGTACTGACCATGGACCTTAGTTTCCCTGTCTGCTTCCAGGGCCCCTCCCAGTGGGTGATATTAGAGTTTCCCCAGCGTGTCTGTGTCTCCCAGCTGCAGATCCAGTTCCAGGGGGGCTTTTCCAGTCGCCACTGCTGCCTAGAAGGTACTGGAAGATCCTGAGAGGTGGTGGGTCCAGGAACTACCACCCTTCACACTCACTGTCTTCCTCTTTCTCTGCTGCAGGTTCACAGGGAAATGAAGCTCTGAGCAAGATTGTGGATTTCTATCCTGAGGATAGCAACTCACTTCAGATATCCTGTCGTGGTCTTTGGGGTGGGGTGGCATGGGCCTCTGAAAGCTTTGGGCTCACCCAGACCTGAGTGGGAACCCTGGTGTGTGACTTCTAGGTCTCCATTGCTTATCTGTAAAATGGGGGTGATGACCACCTGTTTTATGTGATAGGATCAGAGCAACCCACAACTTGCCCAGGTCATCCAACACATTGGTGGTGTCTGAGCTGGATGGAACTATAGCCCAGGTCTGGGAAGGGTGGGGCTTGGAAGGTGGGAAACAAGAAGCCACCTGTTTCCTTTGACTGCCTGTGATCACACTTTCTCTGTGCCAGCTGCTGAAGTAGACCGGCTGAAGGTAACATTTGAGGATGCTACTGACTTTTTTGGCCGTGTGGTCATCTACCACCTGCGGGTACTGGGAAAGAAGAAAGTCTAAGACCTCCTCCAGGAAGCCCTTGGGGGAAACAAAGCAATACAGTGAAGTCCTTCAAGTTCTGCACAGGTTTATTGCTTCCTCTTGGGAAGGGTCCCCTCACACCACCTGTCCCGGAGCTGCCTTGGAAGCCAGTTCTGGGTTCCCCCAGCTCTGAGTTAACTGTTTTGTTCCCTGAGTGTCTGAGTCCTCAGCAGGTGGCCTTCACTCAGAGTTGGCAGGTACCAGGTTGTTCTGGAAAAGTTTGAGGATGTGATTCTCAATCACCTGTTGGACTAGAGATAGGGCAAGGGAAAAAGAACTGTGAGCTTGAATTGGGAGCTAGAGAGGCACAGCCAACCTGCACTCTCCCCCCAGTTGAGAAACAGAGGCCTCCCAGCCCTGGGACTTGGATGAAAGATCCACATCCCATCCCAGGAAGCTCAACTTCTGTAAGTTTGTAAAAATCCATTTTTTTATGTGGTTTTCCAAAATTATAAAAGTATTTCCTACCAAAGTTGGTGAACTTTGATTTTTATGAAAAGACAAGAGGGGTGGCAAGGAATGATTTCTGTTTCAAATGGAATAAAACTCCAAAGAAAGGAGGAGAATATTTCCTAAGCCCTTAATCCCCACCATGACCCTAGGGAGCTGGTTCTGTTAGGATCTCCCCATTACATGGATGGGAAAACTGAGGTCCCACTGTCAGGGAGGAAGTAGGGAGTTAAACTGGGATCTTTCCCTGCTCAAAACCATCTCCCACCATAGACAGGGTTGGCCTCAGTGGCCCTGTTCATAGTGGCCTGGCTGCCTCTCTTTGGATGCTGTCTACCTCTCTTTTTTTTTTTTTTTTTTGAGACGGAGCCTCAAGCTATCCCCCTGGGTAGAGTGCCATGGCATCACGCTCATAGCAACCTCCAACTCCTGGGCTCAAGCGAGTCTCCTGCCTCAGCCTCCCAAGTAGCTGAGACTACAGGCGCCCGCCACAACACCCGGCCATTTTTTTTTTTTTGGTTGCAGCCATCATTGTTGTTTGGCGGCCCGGGCTGGGGATTCGAACCCGCTACCTTAGGTGTATGTGGCTGGCGCCTTAGCCGCTTGAGCCACAGGCGCCAAGCCCTGTCTACCTCTCTTCTGGTCTCCCAGAATACCTCCTTGACTCCCCCCATCCCCAACATCCTAAGGTTGGGCTGGGGCCTCTTTTGGCCTCTCAGTGCCTGTGTGTTCACACCACAGCCCACTCACTGACACCCAATGGTCTCCCTACCCCAACACACAGACAGTCCAGAAGTTAAGACTGGGACATACCCAGGCCAGGTAAACCATGGCCCCTGATGGTCTTCAAACATTCTCAGAGGCTATTCTCAGAGGATAACCCATGTACCCCTTTGTGGTTCCCTGCTTATGGCACCCCATTGCTGCTTCATGGGTCTCAGGCCAACCTTTCCGGTATCCCAAGGCCACAGCAAGGTCCATCGGGGTGTAGCCTGAGTCAGCTTCAGTGGTAAGGTCAGCGCCTCGGGCTGCAAAGCAGAACAGATGCTGGAGGAGGAGCTTGGCCTAGCAGGAGGAGCTTGGCCTAGCAGCAGGAGCCCAGAATGGGACATGAAGACTTGGGAGATCCAGTGACCTCAAGACCTACCATGTGGCCATGGGTCTGCCCTTTGTCCATTTGGCCTTGGAAACAGCCCCACCCCTCTAAGGCTTAATTTCTTCTGAGGACTGTGGCTCCAGGGTCCCTGAAGCATGGAAGGTGTAGGTGTTCAACCCTTTGGCCAGATCCTTACATTATCCTAACATTTCCTCTTCCCAAATCCCCGCCTCTAAGAGAAGTAGATTGTCACCACCCATTTCAGGAACAGTATAAGGATTCTTGGAAGGCCAGTTGCAGCTCTGGGGCCCTCAGGGCCAGTCTCTACTCCCACTCACCCAGCAAAGCCTCAACGCACTTCACATGGTTCCCACGTACAGCATACAGCAGTGGGGTCCCTCCATTCTGTTGGGGGAGAGGCAAGGGAAACTCAACAATTTATCTCTTCCCAATTCTCACAGTGTACCTCCCTCTCTGGTCTCTAATTTAACATAGTTCCTCCTCCTGCTCATCGCCTGGCCAGTCTTTCTTGTCCTTTGGGTCATGACCCTTCTTACACAAAGCCCTCCCTGATCTTCTTTGAGTACTTGGAGCTGCCTGTGTGCCATTACAGCACTGTTCATTACATCTCAGCGGTCCAGTTACATGTCTGCCTCCCGCAAACTTGGGAATGGGTCTGACTTATGTTCCCAGTGCCTCGAGCAGTCCTAGTGCCCTGCAAACACTCAAAAATTTTGTTGTGTTTAATTTTTTTTTTTTTTT